CTCACGAAGCAGAGCGTCTGGCTGAAGGACTGGCGACGGCGCTACTTCGTCTTGAAGAGCTCGAAGCTCTTCTTCTGCAAGGGCGAGTCGTCCGTGCCCCACGGCATGATCGACCTCGCCTCCTGCATGACGGTCAAGAGCGCCGAGTACAAGGCGCACAAGCGCAACGCGCTCGAGGTCTCGACGCCCGACACGACGTACCTCATGTTCGCCGACAGCGAGAAGGAGAAGGACGACTGGATCGGCGCCATCGGCCGCGCCATCGTCCGCTGCTCGTCGACCTACACGAACGACGACGGCATGGAGGGCGACGACGACGACGACGACGACGCGTAGGGCCGTCGGCGGCGCCCGGGGGTGACGCGCCCGCGCGCGCGCCCCCGGAACTAGAGAAATCTTCCTGTGCGTCGCCGCGACGACGACGCGGCCCGGGGGGGATGCGTCCGCGCGCGCGCGCCCCCGGAACTAGAGGCATCTCCCCGGGCTTCGCCGCGACGACGACGCGGCGAGGGCGCGGGCGCCCACCGACCTCCAGAGGGCACTTGGCCAACTAGTGCGAGGAAAACTTAAAATAACTAGCAGCAGCGGCCTTTGCAGCCGGGGAGGCATTCCTTCCAGTACGTGATGTAGAGGTAGGTTTCACCTTCGTTCTCGGGCCGTCGACCGCCGCCGGCCTTGGATACAACGTTCGAAAAACGAGGAATTTCCTCCGCAGAGCACCATGCCTGCAAGACTTTTTCCACCGAATTCGCGGTGTCGACATCCTTCAACCCCATCATGACCAGCATGCGTCGATCTTGGCCCTTGTCTTTGGCCGCGAAGCGCTGCTCAAGATTGCTCGTGCGCCCGACGTCGGTGGCGTATCCAAGAGCTGATAAATCTCTGATATTTCTCTGAAATGGTTCAAGTTGTAGTAGCGCCTCATGGAATGATAGTGATTGGTCTGTGTGAAAGCGACAGCGATCACTGAACTGGATATGATCCACTTTACAACGCTCCTCGCCGGATGACAACCAGTTTCTGATCTCGAACGCGTCGATCGCGGGATCAAGCTTTCTCATGAGGTTCTTTAGAACCTCCTTCGGCACGCCCAAGGTGTCCATGGCGTTGGAGATGCTCCCCTCCCTGTCCGCGAGGCTCTTCTCCCGATTGTCCATGTCCGTGGCCGCGTCTAACGATGCGCAGCACGCCGCATTGGCCGCATCTCGCGCCTCCTTTAATTGATTCACCTCAGCCTGCAACCGAGCCACCTCCTTCTTGTAGAACTTTTTCGACTCCTCCATTTCTTCCAAGCTTCGTAGAGCTTCTTCGCAGGCCACGTCCTTTGCTTTCGCTACTTTTTTCTTGATACGCTCGGCTGTAGGTGGTGCGCTGCGCTTGTGAGGGCCCGGCGACTGTCGCGATTGAAATAGGGATGAGGTGGCGGACGGTGCGCATGACACACCGCTCTCAGATTCGATGTCAGAGACGTCTGGCTGGCCTGCGATTGACGTGTCCGGATCCGCGTTTTGCCGCGCCTGCGAGTCGGCGAGCGCCCCGCCGGGCCGGCGTGCCCGCTGTGCGTCCAGGAGCGACGGCGACGGCTGGAGGCTTTCCGCTGAATGGGAGATCGGAGGATGTCCAGCTGCTTGGCTGCGCGCGTCACCCGGGCCCGGCGGCGGTGGCCCCGGCGATGGCGGTGGCGGAGGCTGCGGCGTTGCTGCGGCGGCGCCCAGCGGCTCCGTCTTCGTGAATGTCAAGCCGTCGAACTTGGAGAAGTAAGAGTGGTCCGTCTGGTTGCGAATCTTTACGCCGATGGCCACCACGACAGACTGATTCGTGATGGTGTTTTTGAAAATGCGGTCCTGACACCACTTGACGATCGCGCTGTTCTCGGACGCCGCTCCCGGGAAAGTGAGGGAGCCTTCGTCGGGGCAGGTGACAGTGATCACTTGCTGAGACGGCTGCCGCCCCATCACGCTGCGCCGCGTCGCAGCCGCCGCCGAACAATACGCACGCGAGTTTACGTTTCGGCCCGAATCGTAGGTGCAAGTTTGATGCAACATGAGTATCAATAAAATGGAAATTGGCTACCTGGTACTAGAAACTCAGAGGGCGGTAGTCTTAGGAGACGACCATGTCGGCCTCGAGGCCGAAGTCGACGAAGTCGAACTCGACCATCTCCTCGTCCGAGTCCGCGGCCTTCATCTCGCGCGACGGCGGCGGCGGCGAGTAGCCCTTGGTCGCGGCGCGCGACGGCACGAGCGCGCCCGCCTCGGCGTCGGCGGCGTCGACGAGGCCCTGGGCCTCGGCGCGCGCGCGCTGCTCGACGACCGCCGGCGACTTGAGGTCCAGGTCGCTGAGCGCCTTGTGGAGCGTCTGGACCTTCTTCGAGGGCGTCTTGTGGATGACGACGGGGTCGTCGCCGCGGCGCTCCCACTTCATCTTCTCCTCGAACTTGCCCGCGAGCGTGTCCACGGTGCGCTTGTGGCTCTCGGAGACGCGCCCGGGCTCGGGCAGCGCGACGGGCTCGAAGCCGCGGGGCGACGCCGCGTCCGGGCGCCACGCGCCGTCGCCGCGCGGCTCCTCGGGCGGCGTCGCGGGCGTCTTCCGGAACGACGCGACGCTGATGGGCGTCGTCGCGTCCGGCTCGTCGAAGGGCTTCGGGGGGGGCGCCGCGGGCTTCCAGGGGTGCTTCGCCGCGGCCGGCGGCGGCGCCGCGGCCGCGGGCGACGCGAAGACGTCGTTGAAGAGCCGCGAGCCGACGTCGTCGCCCGAGGGGACCGCGTCGACGGGCTTGATGACGTCCTCGGCCGGCGCCGCGGCGCCGTAGCGCGACGCGAGCGACGCCGCGGCCGCGCGCTCGCTCGTCGTGAGCGGCTCCGGCTCCGGCTCCGGCTCCGGCTCCGGCTCCGGCTCCGCGGGCTCCGGCTCGGGCTCCGGCTCGGGCGCCTCGGGCGGCTCGTCGTCGTCGGGCGGGATCATGTATTTGCTCACGTCGTCGTCGTCGTCGGAGTCGGGCTTGGAGTCGACGACCGTCGCGAACATCGACGGATTCGCCGCGTTCGTCATATCCGGCACGGAGTCGAGGGATCCGACGGACGCCGCGTCGTCGTCGTCGTCGGGGCAGCCCGCCATGGCGCGGTCGTCGTCGTCGTCGTCGTCGCCGCCGCCGCCCATCATCATCATCGGGGCCGCGGCCGCGGCGACGACGGGCGGCGGCGGCGGCGCGGCCGGCTTCGGCGGCGGCGCGGCCGGCTCGGGGTCGCGGAGGGGTTCGCCGCCGAAGAGCTCCGGCGCGCAGGCCTTGATCATGTCCATGCGCGTCTCGCAGCTGGACAGGTCGACCCGCTTGATGCGCGCGTACTTTTGGAGATTCGCGATGTTCATCGTCGCCACGGACCCCGAGGGCAGCTCGTCCATCTCCGACGGCTTGCGCACGGTCCCCGACGACACCTGGTCCGGGTCCTCGACGTTCTCGTCGTCGCTGTCCATGGAGACGACGAAGTCGCCGTCCTTCCGCGGCGTCTTGTCGATCTCGTGCGCGTCCTCGCGCTCGCGGCAGACGCAGAGCCGGAGCGGCCGCTGCGGGTGGGCCTTGATGGCGGCGAGGACGCTCTCCTTGGACCGCTGCGCCGTCGTCGCGCCGGCCCGGGCCACGTGGTCGCCGACGCGCAGCCCCTTGGCCTCGGCCTCGCCGCCGGGCATGACCGCGGTGACGCGGCCGACGTCGTCGAAGGCGAGGCCCAGCGTCGCGCCCGCGACGTCCACGACGAAGGCCTCGAGGCCGTTACGCGGCGCCTCCGGCCGGCACAGCGTGAGCCGGAGCGGACGCGCCGCGTGGGCCAGGATGGGCTTCATGACGCCGTCCTTCGACGGCGCCGTCGGCGCCGCGCCGACGCACGAGATCCGGTCGCCGACCGCGACGCCGCGCCGCTCCGCCTCGCCGCCGGGCGCCACGGCCTTGACGAGGCCGCCGTCGTCGAAGGCCAGGCCGAGCTTCGCGCCCTCGACGAGCGCCTCGGCGAAGACCAGCCCCGGCGCGTCGGGCCGCGGCCGCGACAGCGTCAGCCGCAGCGGCCGCGCCGCGTGGCCGACGATGGCGTCCATGACGCCCTGCTTCGACGCGGGCACGGGGTGCGGGCCCACGCAGACGACCCGGTCCCCGACGACGACGCCCTTGTGGAGCGCCTCGCCGTTGGGCATGACCGACGTCACGGCGCCGTCGGCGGCGAACGCGAGGCCGAGCCGCGCGCCCTCGAAGACGACGGACGCGTAGTCCTCGGCCGCGGCCTCGGACCGGAGCACGGCCAGGGTCAGGGGCCGCTCGCCGTGGGCCTTGACCGCGGCGACGACGGCCGCCTGGGACCGCGCGACGGCGCCGCCGCCGACGGCGGCGACGACGTCG